ATACCGATATGCCCTGCAAAATAGAGGCTGCAGCCAAAAAGTCTGGCCTGACACAGGACAGATTCACTGGCAGCTCACTGCAGAAATGAAGGTGGCTTCACAGATGTCTCAGCTCTAAAACAATGAGGTACCTGCTCTTAATTTTGGGACCAGAGCTTCTGTCAATTCTAGGTCAAAAAAGAAAATATAATCTCTCTCCTTTAAAAACTGGATGCATAAATAAATCAAATTAAATCCTCAACTCTATCACAGAATCCCAACCAAAAGTTGGCAGACATTTGATAGAGGGAGGGTAAGGACAGTTTCATCTTTCCCCCACCACACTTTAGAAGAAAAAGAGAACATTTTTAGATTGGAAAAGAGGTCACTTGAGCTGCTGCCATAGCAGGAACAACATTAATTTCTATATCCATGTGTTTTCAGGTGCAAGTGCTTGATCCAAACACCTGCATAGCACAGGAAAGCTTCCATCAATCCCTTAATATGCAGTGGAAATTAATCTATATTTTTTTTAATATTAAAAACATCCAGGAGCTGCCCTTAGCTACTACAATAACTGTAATTTCACTTTCCTGTATTGCACCACATTGCAAAGAAAAAAAAATCAAAATCATAGAAGGGTTTGGGTTGAAAGGGACCTTAAAGATCATCCACTTCCACCCCCTGCCATGGACAGGGACACCTTCCACTATCCCAGGTTGCTCCAAGCCCCATCCAGTCTGGCCTTGGACACTAAGGAATGGAGCAGCCACAGCTTCTCTGTGCCAGGGTCTCACCACCCTCACAGGGAAGAATTTCTTCCTAATCTCTAATCTAAATCTCACTTCTGTCAGTTTAAAGCCATTTCCTCTTGTCCTGTCCCTCCATCCCTTGTCCCAAATCCCTCTCCACTCTCCTGGAGCCCCTTTAGGCACTGAAAGGAGCTCTGAGGTCTCCCTGGAGCCTTCTCCTCTCTCAGGCAGATCAGCCCAAACTATTTCATCCTCTTTTCCTCTCTTCCTAGGAGAGGTGCTCCAGCCTTCTGATTAGAAATCCTTCCTTAACACCCAGGTTTTCCCCATCTGAGGAGCCCTCCCAAATCACAAGAAACCCTCTTCCCATGTGGTGCACACAGACACCTCCCACAGCCAGACAGCAGCGCTGGCATCCAGCAATGGAAACCTTCCCTCTATTTGCATGCTCAGCTCTGCCAAAAACAAAGCACACTGCTCAAGTGGCAGAACACCTTCCTACTTCTTAAGGGAAGGCCAGGGAATTTGTGCAGATCCCTGGTTCCTTGGAGGCAGCATTGCTCGAGGAAGACAACGGAGGGAGCTCAGAGCAGCAACTCTCAGTGCTAAGGAGATTAGGACGGCGGCCCAGGGAATCAGCAATCCCAGCACATCACATCCACACAGCCTTGCCCACGGCTGTCACTTTGAGGAGAGTTTGCTACAAAAACAGCACAGAGATTATCTTGTTCTCTTGCAGGAATGCAAGGATTGAGATGCAGGGGAAAAGCAGCAAGACGGGAGCCGCAGGCTTTGTGGAGGCGAAGCCAGCTCTGCTCACTGAGCAGGGACCACCACATGGAGGAATTCCGGCCAGAAACCACCCTAGCGCTGTAATGCTGGCCAAGAAACTGGTTTGAGAAAACACAAAATGTGCCAGCAGCCTGATGACACTGCCCATTGCTCTGAGGAGGGGTGCACTGAATGCCAGGGCATCATGATGAAGGCAGGCATGGGTAGTTATCAATTCCCACCACCCAGGGAGAAGAGTTTTTGGGTCACCACAGTGCTCACATCACATGCTGGCAGCTGGGAGAGCCACACGAGGGTGTTGCATAATGGCTCTTTTTCCTTTCCACATGCACTCGGTGGCATGCACAGAGCAGTGCCACAAGCAGGGATCCCGTGTGTGGCGAGCACACGGAGCAGCTCACTGCGAGGGGAGCAATGGCAAGCCAAGTCCACCAGGAGTCCACAAAGAATCATGGAAAAGACCTTTAACGTCATCAAGTTCCACCAGTAACCAAGCATTGACTGCAAAGGCCACCACTATGCCATGTCCCCAAGTGCCACATCTGCACACCTGTTAAATCCTTCCACCACTTCATTGGACAGCCTGTTCCAATGCTTGACAACTCTTTTGGTGAAGAAATTATTCCTAATATCACATCTAAACCTCCCCTAGCACCACTAGAGGCCATTTCCTCTTGTCCCATCACCAGCTTTGAGCCCTTGTATGTGCCTTGGACAAACAAAGTGCCCAGGTCCTTCACACCCCTAAAGACAAAATCAGCACATGATGGGAGAATTAATGAAAAACAACATTTGTGAGGCTCACCACTGACACCTGAAAGGATCAGAAGGATGGGGACAAGGAGAAAATGCAATGAGGTCTAGCAAGGACCTGGGCATAATGAGGACATCAACACATGGATGTTTCATCTCCATTTGTTTTAAAGGCTTATTTTAAGGATAGTTGTGTGCACATAGATGTACATTTATGACTGATAAAAACACCACTTTTCCAATTACTGTGCCTATAACTGAAAGCACCAAAGATCAGCCAGAGACAAAGGCAGAAAACCACTCAGTGACACACAAAAAGTTTAAGCAGTGAAGCTGATGCTGGACAGGCTTAGCCCCAGTCAACCTCTTACTTGCATCACCTGAATGGCTGAAGCACAGGTCAGGCCAGTTGAACCAAGTCCTCAGGAGGAACTTGCTGGCCTACTTAGCAAAGAGTGACCTCTCCAGACCTCAGCAGCCTCTGGCAAACTCTTGGTGATGTGCATGAAGGGCTGGGGCCAGGGAGCACCTTGTGCTTGTGCCCTGTGCAGCCCTTCCAGCAAAAATGCCTTCACCAGTGCTCATTCAGCACAGAGTATGAAAAAGCTAAAAACAACTCCACTGCCTGGAATTCCAGGGTATCAGGAGGTGAAAAAGAACAAATATGAGCAAGGAGTCCAAGATTTGGACTCTCTGCTGCACTGATGTCCTTCTATAGCTTTGCTCCCAAAGTACTACATGTGGCTATCACATTTTCAAGATTTTCAGGAGCATTCCACACCCAACTTAGACTGTTTGATTCTTCCCAAAGGGTTTCCATCCACCTTTCTAATCATGCAGCAGATAGACAGGGAGAACAACAGACCTCTGGTACACATGGGGAGAGGGCAATCAACAGGTGTGCAAGAGCACAAAGATAACAGAGGGACATTGACCAGACTGAACAGGTCAAAAAATTGACAGGGCCTAAAATGTTGTCAATACAGCCAAGGACCACCATGACAGCTGGGGAGAGAGATCCTGACCCCACCATCAGTGCAGCTCCCAAAGCACCACAGGACTTTCACATTTATCACACTTGTTCCTTACAATTCATCCCACCACCACCAATGCCCTGCACCGGGGGTCTCCAGGTCCAGCAAGAGCAAGACTGGTCACAGACACAGAGATGCTACAACAGTTATTTCTCCCCTCACTGCTGAAACAATCTGCCCCATCACCTGGCTAATTACAGCTTTCCAACCCGTTAGTCCAGGTTGCTCCCACAGGCCACATTCCCAAATCCTGCTCCTTTCTGCCACACAGAAGAAACTGCACATGAAAGTAAGAGATGGGAAGGGAAAACCATAAAGCTGAGAAAAGATGCCCTTGGCAAAATTTGTTTTACGGCATGACTAGCTGGTACTGAAAGCCAAATCCTCTGGTTTTCAGTCCAGACCCTTGTGGGAGGACCATTTGTGTTCTCTCCCCCCAGCCAGACGTGGTGCTGGGGGACTATTGAGGACAGCAGTAACGCCACTAAAGCTCCGTGCTCAGTCCTGCTGCGAGGAGATCCAGGGGCAATGAGCACTGGTGTTTAGGGAAAAATCACCTGTATCAAAGGGGACACCCATCACACTGATTCAGCACCAGTGCTGCCACAGGTGACAGGAAAATTACACAAAGCACTGCTCCCCCCCCAAACACGAACCTTGCAGGGGATGAATCCGTTTCTGTCTCCAGGGTCACCAAGGAGGAGTCCTACAAATCTCCCTGTGCCCCCAAGGGGAGGTAAACCAGGTGGGAGGGACAGAATAATCCTAGAAAAAGCCAGTGGAACTCGTCTGTGCTGCCCACAAATGGATCTGCCACAGCTGGATCTGCTGCTGGAGCAAAAAAAGCAATTTCCCTGGGAGGGGACCACTGAACATCCAAGGGACACATGAACATCCCACCAGTGTGACACGGAACAGCACTCCCCTGCTTGCTTTTCACACTGCCCAGGACACCAACACCACCCTGGCAGGAGTGTCCAAGATGAGGAACAGGAAGTTAAACTTGAAGACCTACAGAACAACACAGTTCTCAGTGATTTCAGGGAACTTGGAGATGGACTTTTTAGTAGGGTCTGTAGTTTCAGGGTAATGGTTTCAAACTGAAAGATGGTAGAGGTTCAGGCAAGATAAAAGATTTTGGTAAGACACAGAAATGTTGCCCACAGAGGTGGCAGGTGCCCCATCACTGGAAAGATTCAAGGTCAGGTGGGATGAGGCTCTGAGCAAGCAGATGAAGCTGGAGATGTCCCGGCTCATTAAAGGGGAGTTATATTTGATGACCTTCAAAAGTTGCTTCCAACCCAGACTATTCCACTATTCAAATTCTGCCCGGCATCCTTAAGCACCCAAGTTTCAAAGCACTGCAGTCTCCACATTTATTTTATTCCTGTGCATGGTTCACTCGAAACATCAAAGACATGGAACTAGGAAAGGATCAGCACAATGAGAACACAGGGAGAACATGAAAATATGGCCAAAGCTCTGAGACAGCTCTTGGATAAGGTCACTTTCCATATGCATGAAGATAAAGCACTCCCCAGCTTCACCAGCAAAAACTTACATAAACCATTCTCCCTTTTGGCAACTCAGTCAAAAAAAAAAAGTTTCTCAAGGGAAAAAATTTATTTGCATCTGCCTGAGCCCCATAATTTGACATTCAGGTGACTCTCTCCTGAAGAGATGTTCTTACCAGCTGCTTCCCAAGTCCTTCTCTCCTGGGCACACGAGACTTTCTTCTAATCTGGAAGAAAAAGCAAGACAACTGATAAGTGATGGGAAAAAAAATCAACTTCAATGCCATGGTTCAGGACATGGCAATCATCAGCACACCAAGAGCTCTGATATCCAGACACATCCTGCAGCCTCTGAGCTAGGTTGCAGGAACAGCAACAAAACCAACTGTTGGATCCTCAAAACACCACTGCTGAGCATGGGGAACCACACCTCCCTTTTAAAAGAAAGTTGATATGAATCTTTAAAATTCCTAGAAGGTTTCAATATTTCCAGATTAGCAACAGTACAAAAGTAGGTGGTTGTAATTGTTTGCAGGACACCTGCAAAAATAATAAATAACAAACTGGTATCTTCAATGAAGAATCATGTGTTTAAGCGTCCAGTGTTCTTTAAGATCCCAAACCTGCTGTGGGAGGAACACTCTGGCCAAAATCCAGTTAGGCATTTCAGTGGGTCAGATTTGAGAGAAGAGGGAGAGCCCTGCTGAATCAAGGTCTTGGCATTTCTCACCAGCTGCTTGTTTCTCTCTCCTGCTGGCCTTCAAACACATACACACACTCCTACCTTCCAAGAATTTTCATTTTTAGCTTTTATTCTAGAAACAACACCTCCTGGTTACAAAAGCAGCTGATTTTGCTGCCAGGAAAAAGCACTGGTAGAACCCCAAGGGGCAGGTCCTGCATTAGACAAGCACCAGGCAGCTCTGAAGAGCTCACAAAAGGCCTTTTAATTAATACTCCTACTTGTTTTGGTGAATTAACACCAGTAAGGAAGCCATTCACACACTGCCTTCAGCTCTGGTCACTGTGGGCTGAACACTTTAAAAATCCTTTTGCATTTATAAATACTTCCTATACAAATGCCATATACTTCCTACATGCATAGTCTCTACAGAAAGCTCAGTTAAAAAAAAATAAAATAAAAATGGATGCAATTTCCCCAGAGAGAAAAATTCAGAGATAAAATTGCAGCAATGATTTATATCTGCCCAGAGGAGCAGAGCAGCAATCCCAGCCCTTGGTGACCTCTGTGCAAACACACCAAGCCAATTACACACTGTGACAGAGGATTTTCCCCTCCCAGAGCAGAGAAACATCAAAAGGTAGTGCAACTAGTGAGTGTGTGTTACTGAGCAGGCTGGGGACAACCAGCGTCAAGGTTTAATCAAGATTTGGATCCACTGTGTGAGGGGTTTTGTAAATATTGATCTTATGGAGTTGTTACATCTGGAGGATGTAATTCCCAATGACCTGCCTGTTTAACCTATGGAAATCACCACGAGGCAACTCAGCTCCATCCTCCCACTCCATCCCTTCTTGTTTGCTGTGGTCTCCATCAGCAGATGAGTGCTAATCCACCTCATCCTTCAGTGTCCCACACCTGGGACATGTCCAGCAGCACTTCCATGTCCTCTGGCAAAATAAAAGGCAAAACACAAACCTTTTAAAGCCACCAGTCATAGCCAGCAGCTGACAGAAGAAATGTTCTTAGATTCCCAGAGTTACAGAATAATTTAGGTTAGAAAAGACCTTTCAGATCCATCAGTCCAACTACTAAGTACTGCCAAGGCCACCACTAACCCATGTCCCCAAGTAGCACACCCACACATCTTTAAATACCTCCAGGAATGATAATTCAACCATGTCCCTGGGTAGCCTCTTCCAATGCTTGAAAAACCTTTCAGTGAGGAAATTTTTCCTTATATCAAATCTAAACCTCCCTGCTGCAAACTGAGACCTTTTCCTCTTGTCCTGTCACTTTCTGCTTGGGAAGAGTGGGCAGGACATGGTGATGTGCAGCTTGCCAGTCCCCTTGTTTGGCCCAGGACATCCTGGTTCCAGCTTCTTGTTGAGCCACACCATCACTGCCTTGATTGTAAGGATGCTTTTTCTCCTGGACATCCCAGAGCCCCTTTCCTTCACCCTGTTTCTTTAGGAAAAATAACCAAAAAATAGGGGCTGAGAGCTAATTTGTGACTTAACGGGCCATTCTTTTCTGCTCCAGGGAAAAAAAAAAATAGGAATAGTATGATGAGGAGCCTGTAAGAGGTGCATTTAGGTCTGGGTTTTAACCATCACAGGCTCACTGTCCTTGTTCCTTACAGGATATTGCTCAGAGTAGCCAAAACCCAGGTGACTAGCAGAAGAAAGAAATACAATAGCAGGTACTTCAGAAAATCCAAAACTATCCAAAACTCAGCCCATCCTACCCACAAGGATACTGAAATTCCAGCTCCCATCTGATCCCCAAAAGAGAGAGTTATCCCTCCTCCTGAGATGTTTACAAAGGAGAAACCACCTCAACTTCCCAGGTGGTGCTTTGAGTCTTCCCGAGTGTGCTCCACCTATGCCATGCACTCCATCATCTGCTTGGAACTGGGATGGGAGAATCCTTTTCTAACACCCTAAATGCACCAGCTTAGTTATTACACTTTGGGCTTTTCAGTGGGTTTTGTCTATTTTTTTATTTGTTTGAAGCATTCAACCATGGGACAAAATTATTTCTTCCTCTACTGAGAGAGGAAACACTCCTGACTGTTTAGGTGAGATTAATTTCAGGATTGTGGCCAGACTGAGGAAATTGGTGGCAGAAATCCTTCATAACTGGATAATGAGGTTGTTGGTTTATGAGTAATTCTCCTGAGTTATGTGCCTGGCACCTTGGGTGTGGGTGACACATTCCTTCCTCCCCTCCATTTCTGAATGGGAAATGTCATCCAAGTGCACAAACACAGTATTTATTAAAAAAAAATAAAAATAGCAACAACACAACTCATGAGGTGGAGGCACAGATTGCATCTCACTTGTACAATGTACAATCACCTGCTGTCTGGAGGAATTTCCCTCCTGGGTCCTCCAAGAATATCTCCAAACTCCATCACAACTCTGATGTAACCAATATTCCAAAAATCCAAAGAGCCTCTGGGGTGGAAACCAGGACAGTACCAAGCCAAATCAACAAATACACTTCCCTGAACACCTCTGTTGTAACAAAATTTTTGATACGGAGAGATGAATCCAGGCTTCCTGACTCTCTGCTGCTGAGCCACCTCACACCCATACTCATGATCCTGCATATACTGTCCATGCTGATCTCATATTCCTCCTCCCAGCCCAAAACAGCATCCCTGGATTGCAACCAGCTCCCCCTTTTTGAGCAACCAAAGGCTTTCACATGGAGATTCCCTGAAGTTTTAACACTGTCAAAGTTCAGCTGCAAGGAAATTAGAGAAGAGAAAGAGCAGCCTTTTTGTGGAGATGCCTCTACTCCAGCTGGAGCCATCACCTTCCATTACTCAGCTCCTTTTTGGGAATTCTCCACGCCTTCCCCTCTGCCATGCCCAGGCACTAGACATGAAGATAGCTAATGACAGTCCCTGCTGGCATGACATCCACCCCGCTTCTCCTGGAGGATGAATGAGCAGATGGGACCATTGGAAGGACAACTGGAGTCCTTCCAATCCAGTAACTCCCACCCCAAAGTTAGAGGATGCAAAGATCCTTCAGGGTCAGAACCTTTTTCCTCGGGGTAGGAACAGGGTCAAGGAATACACACAGGTGGTTACTGAGAGGCTGTGCAGACTAACTCATGTCTGTGGTTGGTTTTACTGTTCTACAAATTCCTGCTTTGCTGGCTTATTCCCCAGCCAACCCACTGCACTATTACAGCAAAATAAGCACAATCCTGAAGAGTTTTGAAATCAATATGATGGGCTCGCAAGCATCTTCCATCATGCAGAACTAAAATTAAAATGTACACCCGCCCTCACCTCACTCCCTGAAATCCAACAGGCAGGAACTTCTCTGTGTCACATCAAGAGACTCAGAAAACTGGGGGTTAATGGGAAACTGCATTTTCATCTGGTTCCAGCCCCACCACCACATCTGTTCCAGCAGACCAACTCCTTCCTGAGACACAGCAAAGCTGCTTTTAGAGCAGCTTCCGCAATCACAATCATCCTCCAATATAAATGGCTATGAGAAAACCAGGGGAATGGTGGTTTCCAGACATTTTGGAGAAGGAAAAGGCAACCATGAGGTTTTCTCAGGAAAAAATTACAGAAGAAGCTCATGAGTGTTCTGGCTGTGCCATCACACTGAAATGAGAGAAGTGAGAAACAGAAACCAGAAGAAAACTCATTCAATCTCTGCAAAAACCCCTCAGGGGACAGGTGGGAGCAAACACAAAGTTCAGCGACAACACCACAATGACACCTCATGAGGCTGAGCATCCCTAAGGAGAAAAAGCATCTGAGAATCACAGAATGGTTTGGGTTGGAAAGGACCTTAAAAACATCTTGGTCCAAGCCCCTGCCCATGGGCAGGGACATCAGACCAGGTTGCTCAAGCCCTGTCCAACCTGGCCTTGGAACACTTCCATTAATAGAAATCCACAGTGTTTTTGGGAAACACGTTCCAGTGCCCTCAGCCTTCACAGGGAAGAATATCATCTTAATATCTAATATAAATATGCCCTCTTTTCAGTCTGAAGCCATTCCCTCTTGTTACATCACTCCATGCCCTTGTCCAAACTCCCTCTCCAGCTCTCTTGGAATCCCTTTAGGCACTGGAAGGGGCTCTCAGCTTTCCCTGAAGCCTTCTTGTCTTCAGGCTGAACAACCCCATCTCTCTCAGCCTGTCTCCATAGCTCCAGTCCTGTGATCAGATTAGTGGCCCTCCTTCTGAGCCACCTGGGGAAACAGCTCCACCCTCAATGCAACATCAACAGAGAGATTTGGGGCGAAGACCTAACACTGAACTTCCAGACCAGGGCAAAACCCTGATATCTGAGCTACAGCTGGTCTTACACGGCAACTCCAGCTCAGATGAGCAGTTCTACCAGAGAGAACACTGGGACAGCCCTGACTCACAGCCCTGAAATCACTGTGAAAACCCTGCTCAGCAGCAAGGCACCAATATGGCAAGTCAAGACATTCCTAAGGTCTTCCTGCGAACCCCTGATTTTTCTGAAAACCCCTGCAAACAACTGATTTTTCTTTTCCTCATG